GCTGGTCCTTTGCTGGTTTATGCTGGTCCTTTGCCAGCACATGACCAGCATAAACCAGCAAAGGACCATCTTAAACCAGCAAAGGACCCGCTTAAACCAGCAAAGGACCAGCATAAACCAGCAAAGGACCAGCTTAAACCACCAAAGGACCAGCTTAAACCAGCAAAAGACCAGCTTAAACCAGCATCCCAGCGTCAAAACATACCTAACCAGCATATGCTGGTTTTTTCAACAGGGAAGCTGGAGGCAAACACAAAGTTGGTCCAAACCTAAATGGACTCTTTGGTCGCTTGACATTTCTTACTGATCAACTACTGCAGCTAACAATTCTCCAGTCCACCAGCAGAGTTCACTGTTTCCTCAGTAGTAGTTCATGGTTATTGTAATAACTCAGATAAACTAATCACATATTTAGATTATGTAAATGCATGTAAATGCATGATATATGACAACTATCATATTGACATTTTGGGACATTTCATTGAATGTTTTGCATATCCATAAAACTTTAAGTTTAAAACCTGAGTGTTATTTTGATGTTTTATGTAATTCATGCCATCTAATAACATGCCGCAAATTTGGCTATTTAAAGTATCTTATAATCACTATGTAGCTAATGTATTGTATGTAATTAGCATTCTGTTATATTTTAGGCCTTTTTTGAACTCAATCCATTAGAACTGGAAGGGTGAATGAATGGAAATGTTTCTGCTCATAAATGTCAGACTCTGTTCCGTGTCTGTGTGTGTTTTCTTCCCCAAGGTGCTCCAGGTTATGTTTATGTCATTGATTTCAGGTGTTCCTCATTGTGTCCCTCCTCTAGTCCTGTATTTAATGGTTTCCTGTTTTGAGTTCGCTGTCCGGTATTGTTTATGTCAACCTCATCAGCTATGTGTGTTTTCCTGGTTCCCTTGTGTTGGATTATATTATTAAAATCTCCATGTTAATGTTCTCCACGTCTCCTCATTCCTCGCTCCGCGCTCCAACACAGTAGCACCGTGACAATAATCCACACACACTCAATTTAATTCTAATTAAATCTTAATCTGTTTAACATGAAGTAGTCATTTACACTTGCTGCATATGTACATCTGTTAAAATAATGGCATTTTAGAAAACTAGTGCATATGTGTTACTAAGTGTTTTCCTTTGTGTTCACGCGTCAACCAATGAATAAAAGAGAAAAAAATGTATACATTTATTTATAGTGATCTTTTCATACATCTTTTCCAATTGGTTTAATTCTCTTAAGCAAAGTGTTTCTGACAGATAATTTAATGATTTGTCTTGTCAAGTTTACTTCAGTTTCCAAATAAAGTGTCTAAACTTCTACAATGGCATAATGATCAATATCACTAGACAAACAGACAAGGAAAAAAGGCAAATAAGAAATGGCACACAAAAGCATCTGATGTCATATTTTCCGTATGCTGTACTTGTTGCCTACTGTCATGGGAAAGCACAAGTTTCAGTGCTCATTTCCCAGAGCTGACAACATGACGTCCATCACACTTCAGTGTTTAAAGTGCTGCACTCATGTGTGAATATGAATCTCTTTTAAAACATACCTGTGTCAGGTTCAGTGGTTTGGTACATTGAAGGGAGGATTCCCTTTCTAGTGTAGATGGGTGTTGGCAATGAACTAAACCCTTTGTCGTTAAGGCAACCCTGGGATGACATGCAAAAGAGCAGATTTGTCTAGCATAAATGAATCACAGCATCATGGATGCCCTATTCCTTTCGTAAGAACTTATGTTGACCTCACAATATACTTATATTGCCCACCCAATACCTGGTTATTCTCTGGGTTATTAGATGGTTCGATTAATTTGACTGTAATAGACAGACAGACAGACAGACAGACAGACAGACAGACAGACAGA